GCCAGTTGCGAAATATCGGGCTTATCCGTCGTCCCAACGTTTCATTCTCTTCGAAAATTTATTTCTCGAGAGAAGTTTATAGTTGCTGAGCATAGAGACTGATTTCGTGGTACATTCGTTGTTTTGCAGACTATGTTTTGCAGTCGAGAAAGAGGCCTATCATGAAACGAAATTTTGTGGAAAGGTGAGGCGAAGTTTTTTCAAAATTAAAAATCGAGAAACTCTTCGACACTCTTCATCGTGTATTTTCGTAACTGATTATTTCCTTTCAATATCTTTGGTTTTTTTATGTACATTTTTCGCTCAAAAGTCACTTCTCTAAGTAAGTAATTATTTTATTCAAAATATTATCCTTTATTATATTATCATAACATTGAAACTTCAATTAGTTATATTTGAAAATCAAAATAATTATAATGAGAAAAAATAATTATAAGTCAATTAGGAAAATGTAGAAAAAAAATGTTTTTTTCGTGTTTTCCAAATTGTAGTTTATCGAAGGATAAAATTGAGAAATTTTTTTTCAGGCACAATATAATTAATTTTGATACTGCAATAAAATAGTTTGATAAAAACTTCAATCCCCAGCCTTAACGTTTTGACCTCTTTCGTTAGTGACAAGTTAACTCATCATTGAACAATTTAAAAATTCTCAAAAGCAAGTTAATTCATCGTTAAAAGATTAAATTGATTAAAAGATCAAAAGGTTAAAGATTAAATTGACTTTATTCTGAAATATTTTTAAGTGACATCAACGTCATTATTCACAATACACACGGTCCTGTAAAATATCGATTTTGCCAATTTAACGTAACTCAACATTATTTCTCGAAAATGTTACGGATTATAAATTACATGCTTGCTATTATGCCTTAATTGATTAATTAAATGACAGTTATAAAGGTGTTAGATTACAAAAATAAAAGAAAATGAATTTACATTTGAAAGTATTCAAATAACGTAGAAAACGTAGAAAAAGAATAATTTTTATCTAAAGTCAAATCTTACTTGATAACTCCCACCATTTTCTATTCCCATATAACAGGCTACTCAATAGTTTCTGGTTTGAAATTAAGCCATCACATCGCTACAGAATGAGAAATTGTACAATCTGCAAGATTTCTATGGTAATAGCGCTCTTATCAAATTTAAACATAAATGGAAAAGAATTTTAGAAATTTTCTCAAAATTTTATTTTAACGATTCGTCGCTATTTTTTTGCATAATCTTTTGTTTATCTGCTATTACTAGAATTTCTTGTGATCAGTGGATCGTGTAAATTTCATACACGGTGATAAATTTGGTCGAATGTTAATTTATCGAGTTGAGCTGTGACAGTGAAAATAATCAAATTATAGATCTCTCTGTTTAATTCATTTTTTTTAAAATAATGCAGGTATTAATAATATGGAACTATTTTAATATCAAATTATATGTTATTTACATGCTAGGTCGTTGAATTCGTTTAAATACAAGCTACAATACTATTAAATCAAAAATATCAATTATCAAAAATTGACAATTATCGAAAAAAAAAATTGGAAATTTTTTTTTATTGTACTGTATCAGCTTTTGTTAAAAACATTTATTATCGCAGTACTTGGAAAATCGTGAAAAGTATTACGTGAGACACCTTGTATATGTGTGATAAATGTAACATTTCGTTTTAAACTTTTTTTTCAGTATTCTCTTCCCATTCTATTTCCCATAACAATGCAGTAGAGAGCAGCCGTTCGTTCGAACGAAAAAAAATTTTTACAACAGACAATACATAATACTGATTTGAGAAATTCAACTCCTGCATCGAATAAGAATAATTTTTCAAGTTGAAATTTCTAAACAAAATGTTGCTCGACTTTTTGAAATTCTCGAGAACGCCAACTCTCGTGTATATATATATATATATATATATAAAATAAATTCTCCGACCCAATCCTGAAATAAATTCTCGACCCCGTTTCTCTCCTAATAACACCTTCGACGAAGTACATTTTCGAAATATCGAAACTCGTCGTACAACCGATTGAAGGGACAAATGAAAATTTGAGGATAAAAGAGGAAGGTTTCCTCCGAGGCAGTCGATGCGCGATAGAATATTCGCTGGGATATTATTCAAATTAGGTGGCACCGACTGTCGTCGGCCGCAGACTGGGACCGTTTGCAATAGGGCTAGGCCGGAATTCCAAATGCCAGCAATAAAGGATGGTTCTCAGCGTTCCGACCAGAACATTCCCCTTGTCGTCGATATGCGTCCAACTGCACGCTCGAATATCTCTTGACTGAAAACTTCCGCTTCCGTCTTTAATCCGCCTTCTTCAGTTCCCTTTCTCTCTCTTCCAAGGCAGCAGTCCCCTTCAGAGGTTTGTGAATTACCGTGATATCTCTTTCTTTAAAAAAACATTGTGCTACAGTTGTGCCTTTCTCTTCTTAATTTTTCTCTTTCAATGGATTCTTTCCACTTGTTTCTTAAAGAACTTTTCTTAAAAGTTTCTGCGCTGTTGTTATTTAAGCATAAGGTAAACAAAGAATAATTGGCATTGTTTTCAACTGAGCCGATGGATTCTGAAAAACGTTTACAATCGGATTACATTGTTCAATCAGATTTCTTTCCTTTCCTTGTTCCATTCTTAGTGAAAGGTAATTAGTAAATTAATGAATTCTTCTTACTTTTTTCGTTGGAAAATGAGTGTAAAATTGTAATTGCAATATTGTTCGGTTTTGTTACAATAAATTCATTATTTATTAATTGATATTAATTCTCGCAGTTTATTTAGAGATCAATAAAGAAGAAATCTAATATTTTTTACATTTATAACGCGTTTCAATTCCAATGTTTTAAATTAATAACATTCCCAGGAAGAAAATATCTTCGCTTCTTCACTAGGTATGTACATACTGTAAAAACTGAAAATAAAATGAATGGTTTTAAAAAGCAGAGGCATCGAGTTTTAAAAAAATTTTGTACGAGTTCTTCTCATGAAAGGCACTTCGAACATAGGAAATTTTATGTTTGAACACTTTCACACGAACGACTATGTATTTGTATAGCTGTATTTTTCAATAGCACTTCATCTGCTAACCGATCGAGACGGATTACAGTAAATGTATTAGCTTCGTGCGTTTAGAAGATTCTTCGCTGTTATTGGACACTTCATTCGACGTTTCGATACGTTATATTTCCAATGTATGTATATTTTAAATTTAAAGATGCTGAATGAGGGAGAAAAACGATTTAAAGAAGGGTATTCGACTGAATTTCACATATAAGTATAAAGATTCATATAACTCATTTTCATACAACTCATGAATTGTCGAAACTGAGATTTCATATTTCGAATTCTATCATTTCTTTTCATAATACTTATCATTGATTTGGAAAAATGTTGATTATATTCATAAATATTCTTGGTAATAAATAATAATAAATAATAATAATAAAATATCCTTAAAATAATAATAATAAATAATAATAAAATATTCTTAAAATAATAATTAATAATAATAATAAAATATCCTTAAAATAACAATAATAAATAATGATAATAAAATATGCTTAAAATAATAATAATAATAAAATATTCTTAAAATAATAATAATTAATAATAATAATAAAATATCCTTAAAATAATAATAATAAATAATGATAATAAAATATCCTTAAAATAATAATAATAAATATTCATAAATATCCTCAGTCACTAGCAATTAACAATAAAATAATTCCATGTTTCTAAGTTTGAGATCACAATTCGATATGAAGGTTTCAAGAATTATAACATTACTTTATTTGTAATTTATTAAAAATTATTGTGCAATAGAGATTCGTCGATCACGAGCACGAAAATGAAAATAATAAAATTCCTATCTGCTCGAATTGTGGAAAACGGAGAGCTTAACTTTTATCTCGTTAATTTATTCCCCATTTAGTCCGCGATCGTTCGTTGTCCGCGTGGTTCTGTTCTATATTTCGTTCGAAATTGCCTCGATATAATCTTCATAAAAGCAACACGGTTCGGTGAAAAACACGATCAGTTCCATTCACCCGTTATTTCAGTAACGTCAGTTCAATTACGAATCATTGAGCATCAATATTTTGTAATAATTTCCGGAACAATACAAAAAAAAAAAATCAACGTCCTTCGTTATCCTGTCTTGTTAAATAATTATTTCCATTATTATATTATACAGGATTGTCTAATAATTTTGCCCACTTTGAGTATTTCTATTAATTTGGAGATATGAAACGATTGATAAATATTTGCAAAAAGATATATTTTTAATACATTGTCAAGGTTATCACCGTGTTGTCGACATAAGTTATTGCGTACAAGGGAATATGGATCTAACGATTTTTCTATAGAAGATTTCAAGATCATCTCCACTCTTTTTTAAACAAAATGACATGTTTTTCAGCTCGACATTCTCTGTAAAAAAGATAAATTAATGTCGATGAGCTATTAGTCTGAGAGATATTTTAAATGTAAAATCTATCGTATGGAAAACGAGGAGAGGCAGGAGCAGTATTCTAGAATTATGGTTCTTGTTTTCTATGCTACAGGTTTTAAAATTAAATTAAAAATATCTATTAAAATAACCGTACATGAATATATATATATATTTTTTTATAAAGAATCTTGAACTGCACTGATTAATGGATCAAAAAAATGATGTGATTTCGTTTAAAAAAATGAAGGTGACCTTGAAATCTTCGAAATCTTTTCACTTGTAGGAAATCAAATATTATGATTAACTTATATTAGCAAAATTTTTTTCATATCTCCAAAAACAATAGAATTATTGAACGCTGATCAAGTTACTTATATATTCATTAACTTAATGTTAATTTTTGAATATTAGAACAAAATATTTAAAAAAAAGTTAAAATATTTAATATTATACAAAAGCAAAAAATTTTCAAATTTTAAAGCAAAATTTCAAATTTTAAAGTAAAAAAAAAAAAAAAAAAAAAAAATCAGGTATTTCTACACTAACTCGTGTAATGTTTATTTCAGGAGAAAGTTAACACTTCACCGACGGGTATAGTGCAGCAGCAGCATCAGCTTCACTTGCCGATCAGCGCTCAGATATTAAACACCAGTCAAGGCTTGCCGACTATCGTACCGACCCTTCAGCACTTAGGCCCAAGCTTGAGGGTGATACCCGGCGACACGAGGCAACTTCTGGTCACTCATACCGCTGGCAACAACGAGTCCAGGCCGCTCACGTTAGCCGTGCAAAACTCGTCGGATCAATCGAGGCCGCTTATTGCTGTGCAATCGAATACTGGAAGCGAGCCAAGGCCCGTAGCGTTGGTCGTTCACTCATCCACGGCGAACGACAACAGGGTAACGTTCGTGCATTCTAATCTCTCCAACAACGACAGGCCGTTGGCCTTAGCCGTGCAATCGTCCGCCAATGACGTCAGGCCAGTTACATTGGTGCATTCGGCAAACGAGGGAAGGCCCTTAGTTTTCGCTGCGCATTCTCCTGCATTGAATGTGTCGAGTAAGTAACTCGGAGCAATTCTGCGTGCCAACTGGTGTAATTACAGATTTGCGTGTTGTCTGCCTTTCGAGAAAATAAATATTAATAAAGTTTCCTCAACGCTGTCCAAATTATATCTAGAGAGTTTATTCTGTTTTTGTCTTTGTTAGTAATAGACAGCCACGCTGGGGAGAACCAGTTACTTTTGGCCTATATTGGAACTTTTATCATTACCTAATTAGCTCTCAAGTACAGTAGAATATCTATTGAAATTTTAGTTAATACGTAATTAACTGAACTTCTGTTGGTTGAATGTGAATGAAAAATAATAGATGCTTGGGGAATATATATGAACTTCAATTATATATAAGAATTATTCACGACTGGAGTATTTAAAATATTTTACAATATAGATGTCTCCAAGTTGTTATTAAATTATTTAAGACATTATTTAGTAATTTAAGCTAACATTACTCCATCTTCGGGCAATAAATAAGTGTTTTTTTAAATATTTTAATACTTTTGCTTAAAAGTTTTAAAACCCTTTCTATTTTTAATATTTTATTATAATGTTTTTGAAATTTTTACTATTTTAGATGCTCAAACGAGGATAAGAGCGGGTGATGCGCAAACAACACATAAAATGGTTGGAGGTGTGACATTGGTAGGCGGAAACGGATCGGAGTTGACTAGACTTCCAGGTGGCGCTGAATTGAACATACTCCCTGCAAATGGTAATGCTTTACATTGAATGTCTTTCTATCTACTGTTTAACAAGTAAATTTTCCAACATATGAATCACTTATAAGCCACATTAACCAACTGCATAAATTAAACAGTATAAGAGTGCGATGACGTTGCAAACATTGCCTTTTTCTTTTTTTTAAATTTATCATAGTGAATTCCAAGATCAGTTTAAAAAGCAATAATGTATTTTATTAACGATCCTCGTGCAGTGAATGAATTTCTAAAAGTAAATCCATTTATTCCTTGAGAATTATGTATTTGTAAGAATTAACAAAAAAGTGGAATTGACCAATTTATATAATTTCCATTATTTGTCACCAGAGGGCAAATTTAAGTATCCAATTTCTCGCTAGTTAACTTCTTGACTATTGGTTCCTATAAAAACAAACTCTGCCTCATCTTTTTTTCATACTTTATACACAGCACCACATCCAAGATGAGATCGTACTATTGCGGTTTTGTAATGAAACGGTGCTAGATCAATCCAACCATTTGCAGAGCGGTTCGTATGACGTTTCATATGCGGATTGCTTTGAAAATGGTTTACAAAATCAATCTTTTTTTTTCGTACTTTTAATCTTTTAATGTTTACAACTTTGTCACTATTCAATCACCTCAGAAAAAACGTGAACAGTGCTAATTGTAAGAGCACAATAATGTCTTACTGTACAATTATCCCTATGGGTTGCAGGATTGACGCTGAGCCATGCAGGGGTGTCACTTCAAACGACAACAGGTAAACCAGGTTCGACAGTGATGCAAAACGCTCCGTCCACAGAAGGTATAGCTCACATCGTTGGCCCGCCGCACACGCCCCTCTCCGGTTTAACGCCAATCGTCACGCCGATGACCGTCGTCTCGCAAGGGAATCAAGTGACCGCTCATATCCTGGCACCGTCTAGCCTGGCCGGCAAGATGATCACCACGCCGATCCTCAAATCCGTGGCGCAAATGCCGATCGTGAACGCTCAGTATATCAACACCACCACTATTGTGAAGCCTGTCGTTGTCGTCAGTTCACCGTCAACGTCCACGCCGCAGTCGACCACCGCTTCCAGCACGCAACCTTCCTCGACCACGCAATCGACCGTCTGACAGAATCAAAAGAAAGTGAAACTAGCTTGAGAATTGGCTACCGTTGACTACTGTAGTCGCAGAGATGACGATAGAACGACGTTGTATCGGCACGTGTCCGCAGTCCGTTATCACGTCAGAAGGTGTACAGGACCTGCAAGTGATAACGTAGACACAGAGAGGTGGACGAACAGAGGAGAAGACACGGATGCGAGAATTCTGTCCATCGTACTGTTATTTTTGACATCGAAGGAGAGTTTCCTATTTTTCCAAACTTCACTTGCGTTCCTTCGTGTTTTCAATTTCGAATGTTTACGCTCTTCCAAAGAATGGAACGACGACGACGACGACGACGACGACGACGTCTGAGAAATTACATACGCAAACGAAAGAAGGTGTTGATGATGCCCGTTGCTCAACTTGCGCGATTGTGCATGGTACCTCGAATGCTCCAGAGATAGTACTTATCGGTGGCGAGGCTCGTTTCGGAAAATTCGGAGGCATCTCGCGGAAATTAACGCGACGAAGGCAGCTCCAGGCGAAAGTGATTTTCGGTGTACTTGAAATAGAATTTCCCCGTTGTGAGCATTTAATGCCGCAACTAACCGGCGACTGAATTTTCTATCGGAAGAAATTGTAGTGGCACAGGAAAGAGTGGGGGAGACTTTTATTTATGTATTTTATGAGAAATTTATAACTGTAAATTTGTAAAATCTCCCCGAGAAATTATGAAATTGGTTATTTTTAACCAGCTCTGGTATTGAAATTCGAAGAAGAATTTTCGTACGATGAAGGCCCCGGGAGACTGAACGGTCCATAATTATTTTCTGTCGAGAGATTTCTTTCAACAAGTGGTTCTTTCTTTTTTTTTTTAAATTGTACATGTTATTGCGGATATTTGTGCAATATCATATTTTTAGGGATGTAACTTTACAAATCTCGGAAACCTAACTTAGAATATATATATATATATATATATATATATATATATATATATATATATATATATATATATATATATATATCATAACATGTACTACCATTTTGTACATTTCATATAATTTTTCATACAACATGCATTGTATGCTTTTTCTCTTTTCTGTTTACAATATTAAATTGTACATATAAATGCATAAAAATCCGCAGTCTAGATGTCGAATGTAATTTACCAATGAAATTCGCGTTGACAGATGAAATGAATTTGACTCGTGATATACTGGGATATACTTGCATGATTTTTAAATTGCTTGACTTGAAGAGTACAAGAGATTTATGTTTCCTTATCTTCTCTTTTCTTTTTTTTCTTTTTGTTTCTGTTTTTGGTACCTTGTGTTGGAAAAGCTCGACAAGGGAACGAAACCAAATGACTGTGCTTAGGATGTTAAATTAAATGAATTATAATTATACGATAATATTAAGATTCGCCTAAATGTTTTTTTTTTTTTCGAAATTGATTGAAATCTTGATAATCGGATGGATGATGAACATGCTTGTTTTTAAATTAATCATTATTATATTTAAAATAGTGGCTGTGGAAAAACAACATGATATCGTTTTGCGCCTGTAATTTACTTTCGACAAAGGTGGAAAAAAAAAAGTGAGTTTAGATGATAAATTGAACTTTTTTGTTGCATCGGATGCATGCCAAGGGAATGCGTATACGTTTTTCTTCTTTCTTTTTTTTTTTGTTATATTATATAGAACATGCTCAAGTATTTATTCGTTTCTATTTATTTTACAAAATGCAACAACTGAGCATAAGCGAAGAATTAAAAAAAAAAAAAAAAAAAAAAACGTTTGCCTTGGCTTCGCAATTTTGATATCTTTACTCGGTTTCATTGCGAGAGAGAAAGAAGGAACACGCTCGTTCGTGGCTTTTATTTGTGATAAAAGTCTGAACGAGAAAAAAAAAAGAAAAGGAGAAAAAAAAATGAAAGAAGCGAGAACGAAAAAGAGTGATAAACAAAATGTATGTTTTTTTTTTTAATAGTGCTGTTTCTGGAAAAGATGTATTTTGTATATACACGAAATTACACAGTTTGCATAATATTTTATTGCGACTGATCCAGACGAATGAATTAACAGAGAGAAGTGATTGCGTTGCAAGAGGAAACCAGAATTATTGTATACGCATAATCGTACTATTTTTTTCTTTCTATGCGCAAGAAAAGAAAAGAAAAAAAAAAGGAAAGCAAAATTGCGTTTTGTTTAGTAATATTAAGTTTCTGTTTTCTTTTTTTTTTGTTTGTTTTTTTTTTTTTGAGCTTTCATTGAAATATACTCTATGTGAAACCGTTGACGGCTCTTGATTTGAGGTAAATAATTAAATGAGATGCAAAATAGTAGAACGCAACGTTTGACCTGCAAAGTTTTTTTTGTCGTATATGTCAATTTATTCTCAAACATAATCACTATGTTACAACCCGTCTTTTTGTATCCGTAGCTTGTCAAATCTTATTGCAAAAGTACAAAGAGTCAGCTCTCTCTCTCACGATTGTGACATATCTGTTTGAATTCTATCATTTCTTCCACATAACTTCAGCTGCGTACTTTTGTAACATGATTAATTCCTTCTTTGTTCTTTGGAAATTCCCGTGGATGAAATAGAACGTTCCATTAAAGCAGAGCATAATAACGTAATTATTATATTAGGTTGGTTCATCTGAAATGTTAAATCACATTAAAGAAAATTTATCGATTTACATCATTGTTGAAGACACTCTTTGTTTCATTTAAGCATGAATTAGTAAACATATTCCAACTTCACCTGGCAAAATAAACTTCTCCTTTTTTTCTTTATATCTTTGGTATTAATGTGAAGCTCCAAAATATCCAGATTCCATATTTAATAGTAGAAAATAGTTCTTTTTGTTGCTATTTTAAATACATATGAAGACCACGGTTGAAGAAACTTATAAATGAAGTGGTCATAACAGCTAGTTAAAGAAGTTTACAAATAAAAAGATTCACAACAGCTCCGTTCCTGAATTCTAAGATCAACAATGTTCACAAATCTGTAAAATGATCTTTAATTGGAGATTTAATTACATTTTGCCAACCTAATATAAACTTAATATCTTTTTCGTTCAGTCTGGGAAAATCTGTGAATCATTGTGGGCAGTTCTTTTTTCTTTTTTTTTTCACATTTTATTCTCTAGAATTAGGAACACGTGCAAACAATACCTAAAAGAGGAAGTGCAGAAAGAAAAACTCAGAAATAAAAATGATTTCGAATTATCAGAGCAAAGTGTTTGAAAGCTAAGCAGTGAGAAATTAAGTTGAAGCTAGAGGTTTTTATACGTGTGTGTGCGAGTGTGTATGTCACTGTTTCAGAATGTCACAATTTGTACACTAGTATTATTATTAACTTGTATATCTGCATACACACACAAACACACACACATATATACATACATACATATATATATATACACATGTTTTTTTTATTTTTTAAATTATTTAATCAAAGGCTTTGGTCAGTTTAAGCGCTGTATGTAATACGCGTGTGTATTATGTTTCTTGATATTTCTCGTTGCGAAAATTCGTTTATTCGATTCTTTAAGTTATTGATTAGCGGAGAGCAGCAATATTGCTTTTGTCGGGGGGGGGGGGGGGGGGGGGCGGGGGACAACATGCGATCTGTCAGAAATGTTGAGAACGTCACCGAATAGATTGGAAGAATGTTTTATGCTAGGTCTTTGAACAATACCACTATTTTTAAATGGAAAATAACTTGCGTTAAACGAGGAAGAACAACATTTAAGAAATCACATCGATAAAGCTGTTTGTAAAGTAACTATAATGGTTATTGATCAAGTAGTACTGAACACTACTGAGAATCCAGTAGTATAACGTTCGATTCACGGCACGATTCGTCAGCTTCACGTTCATGTTAAAACTTGACTCTGTTACTAACATATACTTCTCGCAAAAATTAGGGAATATTTCAAATTGAATATGAAGCGATAAAAACGAGAAGCATTTGATTTTTTTTCTTATTTTATTTTATTTTATTAAACAAGAAGATCAGAAAAGCAAACGACGAGTGAAAGAAAGGGTTGTTCTTGTTTGATAAAAAAAAATATCGAATGCTTCTTTTTTTTTTTTTATCGCTTCACTATTCATTTTAAAATATCCCCTAATTTTTGCGAGCAGTGTATTTACTACCTCCTAGTAATCTTTCCAATTATGTCAGCTGGTTTCTCTTCAATTGCTCCTAATCTTTTGAACAGTAGTAACGATCGTACTAATAATCAAATTACATGAAGTTTTATAAATAATAGAACGAGACGTTTTTCAAGAAAATTTTCATTACGCAAATACACACACACACATGCACTTTCGAGATATTTTATTTCACTGTGATGGACGATTACGCGTGTCATTTTACAAGAACAGTAACTTGGTTGTGTTTGTTCAAAAAAAAAAAAAAAAATTCGACGTTTCTTGCGTTCTGTGTGACGACTTGTTCGCGTTTCGACGAAAACACAGATTCGATTGTTCATATACAAAAAAGACGCACCGTCTTTCGTTTTATACACGGTCGTTTTTCTTCTATCGATCATCCTTTTATTCGTATCATCCCTCGATTTAACGTTTTTTTTTTCATTTGTCGAACACGGAATACTCAATATTTTTTTCCATTTAGTGTTTCAGTAATCAATGACAGAAAAATTCGATCAATTCGTTTTGGAAGAAGTCAAAATTAGATTATTCTAATTATTATTTACAGAAAGATTTCGAACGATTTGTGGATCGATAGTCTGAGTACATATTTCGCTACATATTTTTTTGGTGCTAGTTGAACGAAGAAAAGAAGAAATGAAATTTCATGAAACTAATATAAAAGTTAGATAATTAAATACAGAACTATATCGATTTACATCTGATCTGATTTTTTTGATATCGTGATCGAGATCCTCCAAGGATATTAATAATATAACGTTGCGTACAAATTGTAATTGCAACGTTAAAAACAAAAAATGTTTTCGTTATATTTCTGAAACTGAAAGTCCAACTCTACGGTTGTACATGCAAAGTCAGCTCGGATGACGTTGACCTTGAGGAAACATTTACATTAAAGTAAAAGTGTTTTCCTTGGATTCAAGATGATATATACATATGTATTATAGTGACTTTTACAAACGTTCCAATTCGTTGCAGAAGAATTCATTGCAAATATTGGAAATATTGACTATTCCGCGTTCTTCGATTAATTTGCAGATAGAGCAATTATATTTGGTCGTCCGAATTGCGGGCTTTTATGCATTTATAAGAAATTCGAGGGTCCACAATCGCAATATCGAGTAAGATCTAAATATTCCAAGTAGAATATTTACATTGTCGTTGCAAAAGTCAATGAAAATAAAATAATGGCGGAGCAAGAAAACGAAGGCTTTGTTAATACATTATATATAAAATATATCTAACGTTACGACACATTTGATATTATTTAGCAAAACATCGGATCTCGATATTTTCAAGTAACAAATTTGAATTTTTGATTGCGCTCAAAAAAGAAAAAAAAAAAAAAAAAGAAACAGACGCATAAAAAGTTTTAATGTTCCACAGCAGAATGTTTTTCTTACAATTAAATCTATTATATAGATTTAAAACTCATCTTTTCACGAAAATGTACAAAGATGCATAAAAATTCGCAATTTGTATTTCGATTTCGTCAAGAACATAAAAAAGAAAAAAAGATTCAAAATTCGTGTCAAAGAAGGAGAGTTTCATTTTTCATCTCCCTACTTTGCTTGTAGAAAAGAGATTTTCTTAGATAACAGCACTAGTCATTTTTGTTTCCCTCCTTGTTCATCTTGACACGACTGAACTCCGCTGGGCTTTCAAACATCGTCGTTTATTAATTTCCCTTCTTCTTCTTCTTTCTTCTTTGTAATTCTCCTTTGGAAAATTCAACTGTGAACCGTGCAATGGATATGTAAATATTTGTATCAGACGTTGGGGGCATTCTTAACACGAAAAAGAAAATAGGAAGCGCAGACAAGAATTGTTGATTTTGTTCGCTGAATGCAAGACGAGTGATAAACTTTTGTTTTTAGCCAAAAAGAGAGAACGATTTTATCATTAAAATGCGTGACTTGGATGAAGTAAGTTAAAACAAAAGACTGGAGGTAACAGTTAATAATCAATCTATCAAGAACCAAGTAATTTGTTTGTTATTTCTATTGAGAAATAAGACTAAGAAAATTGATCTTTGAATTATTCTCAAAAAGTGTGTAATCTGGACAAAATAAACTTCCAAATATAATTATGGATATGAGAGATTTTGATTAATAATTAAAAGAAAAAAAAGTCAATAGGATATTTAAATCCCAGTAACAAAGAATTTGAATTATTAGAAGAAAAAATTGTAATGCTGTATAATTAAAATGCATAACTTCAATATTGAACTTTCAAGTATATCTAGATAAGAGAAAGATGACAAAAGATTTTAAATCGTTTGTAAGAAAAATTTAAAAGTCGCTCCTCTTGTATTTGGCGAGAAGAAGACACAGAGAAGAGAATAATGGTAGCAGTCAAATCAAAGCAAAGTCGCGTTCGCGTTTGTTTCTGAACAGCAGACGTAGAAAGCCAACAAAAATATTGACAGATATATATGTGTATAGAGAAAGAGGAAAAGAAACAAGAACAATAGAAATATCCCTTTTTTGTACATAATTAAAAGAGGTTAAAATAACAAAGAAAAGAAAAAGAAATCTCGTCGGTCAGCGGGAACCCTCGGGAACAAACAAATCAAGAGAGAGAAAGTAACGTAAAGAACAAACATGCGAGGAATCTACGTGTACACGAACAATGTGATATAAGTAATTGACAAAGAATTACTTAGCACTATAGCGTTTAAGCAGAAGTGAAAAAGTAAAGGAAAAAAAGAAAAAGAAAAAAAAAAAAATGAAACTGTTGAATCGTTTACGTATTTCGTAGACGTAAATATGACGCTAACTAGTATTTACTAACATCCTAAACAAAACAACAATAAGCACGAGACCGCAAGGGGAGTCTAATTGTACATAGAGAATTATATACGAGAGAGAAAGAATCAGAGGTAGAGTGAGAGACAGAGTGAGAGAGAAATCACGAGATGTAATTATTATATCGAATATATATATATACATAATAAGAGGAATACAAAGGCATGTAGGAATAAAAAGGAAAATGAGAGAAAGAGAGAGAGAGAGAGAGAGAAAAGCAAAAAGAAGTGTCTAGGCGTGTCTTGTACATCCCTCGTGATAATAGAGTATCTGTACATTATATTTCTTGTGTGAATGAACCGGCGCGAGGAGTAAACGAGAGGAGAACAAAATAAAAGAAAATGAAATAAAAAACAAAGCGAAGTATGCCTGTGAGTTTTAGTAAGAGTGTTGTTTGTTGTTGTAGTCTATGTCGAATTTTGTTATATGCCGTCGCTGGTATATATATGAAGAAAAACAAAAAAGAAAAAAAGAAAAAAACAAAATATGTACATGGTATATGTCACTCTTCGAACCAAACCTATTTGCGTGTTGGTTTGTAGAAAGGAGGAAGGAGTGAGAGAGTGTGTGTGTGTATGTGTGTGAAGAGAGAAAAATAAAGAAAGATAGTAATGCGATAGAAGAGAAAAAAAATATGAGAGAGTGAGAGAGAGAGAAAGCGTGAGAAATCGAGCAGCCGCGTGTAAACACTTTTTGTTTTCAAAAAGAGTGCGACAAAGATTTCAATACAATCTATTACAATAAAAATTTCAACGTGAGAAGCATTGCGCCCTTGTCCTCCTTGTATATATATCCATTCTTGAACACTGATCTCCATCTTCGTGATTCGATTTGATTAGATTACAACGCTTGAAATTTATATAATTTTGTTTGTTACATTCGCAATTTTTAGTTTTGACAAATTTAATTTTAATACTAGAACTACCAACAACTGTAAATTTTCCATTAGAGACATTAAAGTAAAAAAGAAACAGAAAATCTTTGTAATAGAACATGGCACGCAAGCTTTTATTTATATATTTTACAAAGAATTACTTGTTCTCCAAAAATACATTGTAAGATATCTGACAAAAATTATCAATTGATCATTTGGGCCATTTTGGTAGTTCTAGTGTTAAGAAAAGTGTAATAATTTACCTCGATGATTAGTTAACAATTGTTCTCTCAGTTCTTCCATGTACGTAAAAGAAGAAATTAGATTTCGAAGAAACAGGTTCGATGAATTGTAGAAATCACGTCATTGGTCATTATTGGTTATTATTTCGGTCCTCGCTTAAATTTGCATCCAAAAATTAAAATCCAGTGATTTTTCTTCGTTTTAATTCTGAAATAAGAAACTAAATTTTGGTGTAAAAAAGTTTCAATTTTCACTCAATCTTCAAGAGGATCTCCACGTTTTCGAAGAACAATTCCCAATGAAAATATTATTTACCAGTGTTAATCTTGATAAAACAGTTTTGTGACTGGAAAACCAATTTTATTTTCACTTAATCCATTGACAATCATCGTTATAAGAGGGAAGGAAGGTTAATTAACGTCTTCCACTGTGATCACTGGCACACAAGATGACAGACGTGTCTCGTCAAAGAGACAAGGGAAAAATAGAAACGAGAAAAAAGTTACAATAGTGGCGCTCGCATCGCGATCTATATCGATCCGAATTAATCAGAAAATTCTCTGCTTCGTGATATCCATTTATTAAAAATATCCACTAATTCACATTGCGTGTGTCCTGTGAGTGTTTGTGTGTGTGTGTAATTGGTGTGTGTATATGTATGTGTAACTTGTGTCACACGCCTGACCACGTGTGCGCAAATGTATACACAGTGTACACGTGTGTCGCGTTACTTTCAGTTATAGTAGAGTACGACATTACCATCATTATAATATTGTCCTCTCTATCTACGCGTTCTCATCAGACAACGTGTTCTACCCACGCAATTTTCAAAATATACAATATTTCTCGTGTTTCGTTCGTTTACAAAAGACTATAATTCTCATTCATCCTAGAACATCTCTCGGATTTCTAACTACTATCCCGAACATTATCTTTTCTCTCTGTACTCTGTTTCTACTCTCCGCTCTACGATTTCTTTCTTCTTTTTTTAGCCTAATTTTTTGGTCGATCTCGCATGTAACCTCTCGTTCCGCCGAAGATTCGTTCGACACGCGTCGCGTACGTGCACATATACATATACATATACATATAGACTGAGTACAATAGCTACGTGTTTTTTTCTTTTTTTTTCTTTTTTTTTTTTTTGCGAAAATGTACAGTTCGAAGATACACGCACATACACGCATCCTTATCCATGGCGGTCTACGACTGAATGTCATGAATACTGTTTCTAATAATTTCTTATCGACTGAGTTTGTAGAAAGAAGTGAGAAACACGTGTATTGAAGACATCGCGAATGAAGATGCATCGACTAAAATGTGACAATGTGTTAAATACGTTCATACAGTTACTATGGTTATAAAAAAAAAAAAAAAAAAAGGTATACATAATCGTTCGTTTTCAACGAACAGTTTTATATTTCATTCTTGTAGTATCCACTTTTTATTAAATGGTCAAGTAAAAATATCATTAACCTCTTGAACTCGCAACTGGTTCGCGGACCATAACGAGAGACCGAACCAGTATACAATAATTCGTCACTTTCTTTTTTTTTTGAACTCGTCGGTATCACTGGATAGAAATTATTGAGAAGTAATAAATTTATTATTTGTTACAATATGATATCACTGGATAGAAATTATTGAGAAGTAATAAATTTATCATTCGCTTTGTTTTCTTGGGTTATATTTCAATATACTTAAAATTGAAAAAAATGTAATTTGGGACAAAAAATTGTCGACGTGCGTGGCAAGAGGTTAAAGAATGATCTATTCAATCAGAATAGAACAGGAAACAAAGTTACTTCCTATACATTATTTCCAAAATAATAAAATACTTTCAATCATTTCAAGTAAGTTTGTATGAAAAATTTGATACAGTGGCGCCAAATCAATTACTATGTAAATATGATTTCTTTAAATATGGTTTAACGTGACTGATCCATGACATTTAGTTCTCGCATTTGATCACACGGTGTAGCTCGTACGATCCTAATGTAACTTTGCTCCCCTTGCGAAAAAACGTAAACAGACAATTATCGATTAGAACGAGGAAACTCTCATAATACACGTGTTGCATAAATATATGTATATATATATATCTTACACTCCATGAGTAATGAATTACTTATCGGTGAAGACTTTTTGTACGATCTTACTGACTGAAAGCTATTCGGTTGTACTTAAATTGAAAAATTGAGAAACAATTTGAAATATAATACATGATACACGATACATAATACATAATCGAACGAAAAATATATTATCGATATTATCTATTCTTCTACGTTTGTAAAGGTACTGTAGATTGCATGAGTATGGACACCCCATACTTACACACACGCACATACATAAAAATCAAACGAACAAACATCCGGAACCGAATTCTCGAATCGGGGCCGTCCAATTTTTGGGAAGTTATTTATGTTAATTATAAATTTATTATTAGAAAACACACGATATACGACCTGAAACGACATTAGGCTCATCAGAATTGACAAGCTATGTAAATAATTAAATAAATAAATAGATTATTTACAATTACAACGATATTATTATGTTAATAATTAAAGGCTAATAATCTTCACTTCAATTTTTATCTTAAAAAAGGGTATTGTCAATTATCACATAGATTCGAGAATATTCGGTTCGTGAAAAATTGTCGAAAAAATCTCTTTTCCACGTGTATATCGAAGCAGGCAAATACAATGTAAATATTAATATCCCATAGTTCAACAGAAATAGCAATAAAATTTTCATTTTAGTTAAATTTCTATGTATTGTGCTTTCTTCTTTTTTTTTTTTTTTTTAAGTAAGCTGTAAAATCACTCTATTTGTTAACAACAAAATATAATAGAATATAAAGTGAAGTAGCGACGAGTAGTATGAAACAATTTGCCTCTTCGATACACGAATTGTTGCAGTATCGTGCAACTGCGTGACTTGAAATAAAAAAAAAAAAAGAAAAAAAGAAAAACATAAGCGTACAAATATTTTCGTCAAAAGTACATACATTCACTTAAAGAAAAACTATACTTAGCTGCTACATTTAGCTTCAGCTAGCAACACAGTTTCGTTTCACGTGAAGTAAAGTGAGTATATAAATACGACACGTATTAATAAAAATAGTCAACGCGAACCAATGGCTCGTGGAATTTTGTTATTTGATTGAAATATCGGAGAGATGGAAGAAAATTCCTGTCCGTGGATCGAACTCGCCGGAAACGTTTAACTTGCAACTAGAAATTTATCATCTGATTTTCAATCCAAATATGCGAAGACAATAGATTGTAAGAATTGAAACAGTGTTGCTGACGAAAACGAAAAGAAGTATCAAGTCGTAGGAAAACGCACTTAAAGCAATCGTTCTCACAATTTTCTAATTCCATTTTCTAATACCCCCGAAAATGGCACGCGTCAATCGTCCCCTGATAACAGAAGAAACTAGACTCCTCAATTAATATTCGACGGTTAATTAAAATATTGACATTTGGTTAGTAAAGTATTAACCCTCGGCCAGCGGTGATAGAACAGAGTATCGTAATATACTTAGTTAATTTATTTTAATACAAAAATGTTGACGTTTTCGTCATAAATAATTTTCACAAATAATTAGAAATGCTGAGATAAAAGGACTCGATAAAAGGAAAAATAGAAATATACTGAAATGACACACTGTTGGGTCAAATCTTATCCCGAATCACCGCGCGTAGTCGAGAGTTAATGAAACACTTCACGTACAATTAAAAACAATCTTACATTACAAACGTATGTAGCTACGCTACCATCGCCACGATTTCGCTTAACTAGGCTAGAACGTATAGAAAAGGCGTTATATCTCCTCCTTCTCATCTTCTCTGGCTCGTCTCCTCTTTTTCCAATTCATCACGTAAAGACGATTTGCGGATATGATCGTCGTAGAAATGATCGCAGGACTTTTGTTCCGTCGCGAGACCAGACAGAACGAAATAAGAGTCGTTACATCATAGAAAAATTGTCTCAACTCGTTTTGCCGAGGAAAGTTTTAATCAAAGTTTTAATCAAAGTTCGTCTGAGGGTAAATTTCTTAGAACACGATTGAATTTATCATCTGGATTTTCCGAGGACGAGACGTCACTAAAAATTTATTCACCGTGATAGAAATAGAAGGACAATAATAATAAAGGAGATATTTGGAATAGAATCTGGGAATATGTTTGGTGGAGGGAAAAATATTCCCCGTTAGTTAGGCGAATATCCCCGAGTGTCGATAGAAATAGAAAATTCTCCAAAATGAATACAATTATCACCGTGCGTCCGTTCCGTCGAATAAGAAATGCAAGGCTGAGATAACGCACTTTTTAGAAAATGTTCTAAGAAATCACAACGTAGACGTTTTCTTTTCTTTTTTTTCTTTTTTTTTTTTTACAACTTTACAAATTTTCGCGAATCCTCGAACGGCGGAGGATCCGGTTATCGATAACTACCAACAACCGCGGACGTTCATGCGTTCTTGGAAATGTCAAGCCTGCAGAAGTCTGCGAAATATAATCCAAAGTAGTGTTATTTATGGTAACACTCGTCGAAAGAGGCAAATCTCTCTAATTTCTCTAGATTTAGATCAACGAAAGTAATAAAGTTCTGCACGAACGTCCGCAGTCTATAGATAACCTATCTAAAGTTCTCTGTTCCATCGACGATGATCGGATTATATTTCCATCGTCGATCAGTGGAACAAAAATCGAACACATTGCATGAAATTTTCAATTCGAAAGGGGTTAGACAAATATTTTCTCTTCTTTTTTTTTTTCAGAAGCGCATAGACGTCGGTTTTCTTCTCTTATTTCTTCCCTCTCGCAGTATAATATCTGAACTTTCGCGGTTTCTACGATACCGAGAAAAAGAAGAACACACCTGTGAGAGGCGAATCAGAATTTGAAACACGTTCTCGCATTGACTACCCATCGGAAGGGGTGCACTAAATGTTTACTAAAAATAGCTCATATAAAACATCTGTTTTTTTTTTCCTTTTCTTTTCTTTTCTTTTCTGGGAGCAATAGAACTTTCTACTTACTTCTTCCTCCTCCCTCCCCCTCATTTCTCTCCACTCCTTTTCTCTATTCTTATATAATCGGCATTTACAGTTTCGATCGCTTATCATTAATAAAAATACTATATAGGTTGTGGACCTTGCACTTACGGATTACGATTTCTTCTTCTTCTTCTTCTTCTTCTTCTTCTTTTTTTTCGCTTTTTTAAATTTTAACTTGCTCATTGAGTATAATTTGAATTACGCTTTGAAATTAGTTCGTCTTGTCTTTTTTTTTTTGTACTGCTCTAAGTGTACTATACTTTCGCATTTTCTTGTTTCTTTTCTATTGTTGGGAAGACTTTAGCGACGAACGACGATCTTACGTCCTTGCACTTCCCCTTTTCCAGCGTTCTCATGCTCGCGATAGTTGTATTTTTTTTTTTTTTTTTTTTTTTCTGAAGAAGAAAAAGATCATGACACGTTAATACATTACTATTAAATATAAAACGAATGTTTCTTCAACGCTAGAACCGAGGGGGACACGAAACATCAACGTTGAACAATAAATGAAATCTCTACATTTCACGAAAACTGAACGAACCCACGCAGTTAGATCTTTTTCCCCTCGAGTTATCTTTCGCGAGCATATGCATCGGGACAGGACAATGGAATTTGTACTCGGTGACGCCTGATGTCACATTTATCAGCTAAATAATCGACGATCCAATTCTCGTAATCGCGGTGGATATTTTTCTCGCACGGTAAAAACCGTCCGTCACGAATATATTCCTCCTTGGAACAAAACTCATCGTACAGTATATATCAGCCAGTCATGCTCTGTTCAAACACGTCTGTCAATTATGCATATTTCGAGCAGAACGTTGGACATTTCATAGATCTTATTAACGCGTTCGTAACAGTAATAATCGAAACGAAATTTGTTATAATAAGACGCACGTGAATGACATAATCGCTCGCTGCGATCAAACTATAAAAATCGCATTTTTTCAATTCGTATCGCGATATATAATTAGAATCGAAGATCTATAACGTATAATTACCATTGTAGTATGTACAGTTATAATGAATGAAACTGATCGATCAACTACAGTTACAATAATGTATGTATGTTTCACGCTTTATGCTTACATTACATAATGTAAAAAGGTTAGAAATCTAATTAACGAATGAATCATTCGATTTTAAATACCCGAGTCAATTGTCAGACGTATTTTTCACGTGATTCTGACTGTAAGAAGTTTCTTCTGGATCACTATTGCGAGCACTATTGGCGAGTCGGATGGGATTGAATTGAGAAAGAAAAAAAGAAAAAGGAAACAGGTGCGACGCAACAGAATGCTCGTTGAACGCAACGGGAAATTATTCTACTAAAAAACGGTGGCGAGACGATACTGTTATTTACAAAATTGGTTGGCACTTTCTTCGGTTTGGAGATTATTAATCCGGTGGCGGGAACGCGATTGATTCCGATGCGTGGTCAACCGAGAGAATTTCGCGGATCGAACGAGGAGAACGCTCAAAATGGCTCGTTTGTTTCTTCGTTTTCTTTTTTCTTTTCCTCTCTTGAGAATTTCGGTATCATTGGACAAAAATTGTTGGAGAATTGCAACAATTTTTAGGCTTGCGCTACTTATAATTTTGAGATTTCTCAAGTTGAATTCCACACGCTTGCACAATATCCAAAGTATAGTAATCTCTGTAATATTTTCGTAAATGAAATCAATCTCAACGTTGCCTAGTATTTCTGCAATTGTTACTCGTGAACATTCCAATTGCAGCCTGTTCAACAAAGCAAAAGTATCCAAAATTTTAGCACTCTTTACAGATCCAACAGTCGTCCGCGATTCATCCAATGATACTTGCTTTCTTTCCCGAGAGTTAGGTTTGATGATTGATTCTCTTAAGTCGATAGATCACTAGTAGTTGGAATGGTGTTGCGTTTGATATTGGATTTCTCACGTACGAATACAGATGTTGCTTCGGAACACGTGGTAGAGCGGTGGCTGATAAAATATTAGCTCTATATATCTATATATCTTATTTTATAGTAATATTTGCACGCACACACACACACACACACGTAGATACGTAGAACACAATCAATTACACGTTGAAAAGACACGTGGTGCTAATTAGAAACGATGGCTTTTTAAATAAATGCAAGACAAACAAAATTTCAAGAAGTCGTCCTTCCCCGGAATGTGAGTGAACTTTCGCCTATCTCACGATTCATTTATCAGAAGAAGAAGAAGAAAGAAAAACAAAACATTTCTGTGTAATTTCGTTTTCAAAGATATCTCACGCAACACCTTCGATCCACAGCGTCTCAATACGAAGAAGAATCACGACAAACGAGCGATTTCTCTCCCGGTTCGAGGAGCAAGTATAGTTTCTAAGCAAGGTAGAAACACCAGTTGCTATGATACATAGTACGAGTACGTACAACGACTACGGACAGTTAATTTTCCACGTCGCCAACTCCGCGTGAACTCTCTCTCTCTCTCTCTCCCGTTTCCTCTTCGTTAAGTTCCTTATTTACGAAGTTGAACACAATTATCGAGAATCTTCAATCACAATAGACTCGTACGTCAGTTTCCTCTTCCAAGAACTTCCCTCGAAGATTCATTCATTCTTCTCTTTTTCTCTCTTCTCGTTCTCTTCGTCCTTTTCCCCCTTTATCACGTTATAACAACGCCACGTCGATCGAAGTACGAGAAAGATTCCGATCGAGGAGGATCGAGGGAGATTTTTTCGCACGTGGATGATCAAATCGATGTGATCGATGAACGAAGCTGAGGTGTTTCTGTGTGCGTTGTAGGTCGTCGTCGTCGGAGTCGTCGTGTGTGTGTGTGTGTGTGTGTATGTGTGTGTGTGAATGATTCGAAATCGACGCATGCACGGCGGTGATCTGTTTGAACCGGTTTCTGTTTCGGCGTCGCCTCGTCTCTATATGCTGCTTGAGGTAGAGTAATTCGGGAAAGAGAACAAAGTGGAGTGCCACCATGGTGTGTGAATGATTAAAGCAGAGAGAAACCTTTGGCAGTATATTTTCTTGTGTTCAGTGTTTGTTCTGAATTTTTCTCAGCCGATTCCGAGTGCCCGATCGCCTGGTCGTCTGCTTGTTGTTCCCCTGTCCGCCATTACTTTGCCCCCGGTATCTTGCTTAACACCTGAAAGCCATTCAAACGGTGAGACCATTCGCTTTGAAACTTTATAGAACGAATGATAGGTGAATCATCAATTCTCAACTATTATTGTCAATTATCAATTATTTGATACATATGGAATCTTTGCAAGCAACATTCTTTGCAACTTTCAGCTTTGTATCTCAATTTCTCTTCAGATTAAAGTAATACAGAACGACGAAGCAATGCAAATTTTATACAATTTTCTTTCAATTGCATTTCATTTGTTACAACTTGATACGATCGAAAAAAAAAAAAAAAAAATGTGCCAATGACGCAAATGCAAAATGCATTATGAAATATCATGGACTCGGTGTTATGAATTATTTATATAATACATTTGAGAGGAAAATATCTGAATATTCTTTTAGCTGCTTTAGTTGCTTCATTTCGCAGAACGCTTGTATCTTTTTCTTTCTTCCTTTGAACCAGTTTCTCTGAAACTATGACTCAATCATTTCTCTTTTTCAAAATCATGTGTTTTTATCTTTTGGAGTCATGATCCTATTAGAATCTACCGCGCTTTCGTTGTATCTGTATACGCTTTCTAAGAGGCCAGCGGCCTCTTGAACATACTTTTGAAAGATCTACACCGGTCAGTGCTTGAACAGCTGGAGGTACTTGCCCCACAAGGCGTGTAATTTCTCCGCTGGTCGTGTCGCTTCCGCCCAGAAGAACAATCTCGTCCGTTCTCGCCAATGGCGCGGCCACCTCTGCAGCAATCTGGAAAAAAACAGACACCAAACAGGCATGAGTTAATCGTACATTTATGGTGTAGATATACTGTTTGAATTTTTTAATAAAATCTTCACTACTTTCATTAGAATCTTTACTTGTTATAGAAGAAAGTTTAAAAGTACAAAAGATAACTTCAAGTGCTTAAATCTTTTGCAAACTTTATGCAACTCCTGAACTCAGACACAGGATGATATTAAATTTTAATGATATCATCACTAAAAACACAATATCACAATATCTATCTTGAACTTTCTTCATTAATTGCTGACTCTGGTAGCAAGCTCTATTTTCTTGTAATCGATACTAACATTCTTTAAATTTCTTTATATTATTACATTTGTTATAAAAGAAAGTTTAGAAGTGCAAAAGATAATTTCAAGTTTTATGCAATTCCTCAGTTCTATTAGACACAGGATGATATTAAATTTTAATGATATCACTAAAACAGAATATCACAATGTCTATCTATTTATCTATCTATATCTATCTTGAACTTTCTTCATTAATTGCTGGCTCTCGCAGCAAGCTCAAGCAATTTTCTAAGTAATAAGATAACTTTAAAATCCAGCAATATTAGTATTTATACAGTTATATAACATTCTTTACATCATTTATTTCTTCATATCATTTTTCTTAATGTTCTCTATATTGAATTGTTCAGAGTGGTAAATCAATACTGTGTCAGCGCATATTTCATTTCATTATTGTATGTATTTTCTGATCTATATCAATTATCATAACCACTCTGACCATGAATGATGATCACGTTAGAATATTCTTTGTGTTTCTATATTTATGATTTCATCGCATTTGCAAGAACAGCACCTGTGTTCTTTGCATAGAACAGCGTTTGCACTTCAGTTCTCTCTTACAAGTCTCAGACTTTTGTATTTTGTATTTCAGTGGCCGACAATTGCAGTCTGAGAATGAAGGATCCCTCACCTTTGGCAGAGCGTTCAGAGCGATATTGAGAATGGCAGCCTCGCCGTACTTCTTGTAGACGGCGGCCTTCATCCGCATATGTTCAGCTTCCGACATTCCAACCGCTTGTAGAGCCTGTGCCTCGGCTCCCCCGATCAATCGAATCTTCTCAGCTTCAGCAATGGCCGCGTTCACCGTCTGCGTCCTAGAAACCGGCAAATCGACCAGTTTAATTTACAAATGTTCACTGTTAGATTGCGAGTTACTATGCATTTCTATGCAAAACAAGGTATATCATTTTTCATAATGTTTAATGTATATAACATGTATATTTAATGCGTAGAGGACAATTTATATAACTTTTTTTCAACTACGTTTAATTTATATAATGTTTTTTAATGTAGATTAATTATATTGTATATTAATTACGTTTAGCAATTTATATATTATATTATATATTATTAATTATATTCTCAAGATCACCGACCATTTGCAGTTCATTTAAAATTCCAGAGTTGATTAAATATTTCTTACTACATTTTTTTGTACTAGTAATTATATAAATTAAATATTTTGTATTATTATTACTTATATTATTATTTACACTATTATGACTTTATACTATTAGAATTTTAGGGAAGTATCCAATAAAAATTAAACGTTCCATCATATCATGGAAGAACATAAGAATACAAATTTCATTGGAATTGGGAATTTTTAATTTCATCCAATTAATTATTGCCAATCTCTGGAATTCTAAAATGTGAACTACAAGATAAAATAGAATGGTCTGACGGCAAATTATTATTATTATGGTCTACAATTGTGTAAATTACATAATAAATATATAAATGTGTGATAGCCAATTAATATAATTAATTATGTAATCGATGTAAAATATATGTGTATATATATATATATATTTAATTTATTAATTATATAATATAATTATATTATTACATATTATATATATTTTATTATATATTATATTATTATATAGATATTTAATTATATTATTATATATTTTAATTTAATTTATTATTATATAATATAATTATATATATTTAATTATATATATATATTGTTCTAGGTTTAAGAGTAAAGTCACCTTTTCCCTTCGGCCACTCTGCCGATTTTATAGTGTTCAGCCTCCGCGGGTAATCTCACGGTGCTCTGGAGCTCGTGTTCCTTCCGGCGGATCTCCTGTTCCTCAACCTCGATCTGCTTGCGCCTCTCCACAACCTCTATCTGAATCTCCTCGTTTCGTATCCGTTGCCTTATCTTCGCCGCTTGAAGCTCGTAAGCCAGCTGAGCCTCCGCTTTCTGTTGGTCCACAAAATCATTGTCCATTTTTTTTTTTACTTGAAATCAAATCTCAAGACGATGAAAATGTACCATTGAAATTGACGACAGGCTGACTTGTTAATTCTTTAACTATCGAATCTATTGTAGTGTACTTTGTTTCAAATTTATCACACAAAAGAACATTAAGAAGTAAACAAATGTTGTATACAGATCTATGAAGAAAAAATTTTCTTTCAAATTTTTAGAACTGTTTTTGTTTTTTTTTTTTAAAGATTAACAGTACAGGTTTTCTTGGTCAGCAATTTACTTAGCTAATCAGCAATTGGAATTAATATTTAATTGGTGCAAATGGAAATGTTACTTTACAATCAATTACTGTGTAATTATATGATTAACCATAATTATGACTATGATCATAATCATTGTGGATAGTAATATGGATGCTAATAGTTCTATAAAAATGGAATTGAAACCAAACGGTTGTGTTTCGAGTTTTCATATATTATAAGATTATTTTTAACCTTTCCACTTTTATCTTTATACAACAATAACTGAAATCAATATCAAGGCTGAATCTTTTTCACTCATTCATCAATTCAGGATTAAATTACTTAATTCTGATGTTTTCTTGTCCAACGTGATTTTATTGTTACACTTTGACAGAGAGAGTGTAAAATTAGCTGTCCAAGATTTTAGTGACCTAATGTAAATTGTTATCAGTTATGTAAAACCTAATGATACTAAATGATACTGATTTTGAGACAACATTTTTATATTTAACAATTATTATCTTCTTTTTCTGAATGGTTTCGACTGAGACTCACCGCTGTGTTCACTTCCTGATCGAAATTCGCCTTCTGCAGTTGAAATAATCTGGCATTGTCCTCGATTTTTGTGTCTGTATTGTATTTTATGTCCATCGCTGCCTTCTCACATTCTGCCTCCTGTCGATTAATTTAAAATATAATTTAAAATCATTCCGACAATCGCATGCATTTTATATCGGGAGTAGGTTTTTCCGAGATGTCGTATGTTTCGATCAAAGTAATTTTTATGTCGCTCAATGTTTAATAATTAATTTCACTGTTGCAGGTATATTCCGACGATTGAATTTGCAATTTCGTCGAGAAATTTAGAATTTTTTCGTGAATTTAGAATTCTTCCGGAAAATTTAGAATTCTTCCAAAAAATTTATAATTTTTTAGTGTATTTAGAATTCTTTCGAGAAATTTAGAACTTTCTCGTGAAACTAGAATTTTTTTTCAAAAAATTTAGAATTTTTCCCAGAAATTTAGAATTTTTCTGAAAAACTTAGAATCTCTCCGAGAAATTTAGAATTCTTTCGAGAAATTTAGAACTTTCTCGTGAATCTAGAATTTTTTTTCGAAAAATTTAGAATTTTTCCCAGAAATTTAGAATTTTTCTGAAAAATTTAGAAGTTTTCCCAGAAATTTAGAATTTTTCTTAAAAATTTAGAATTTTCCCCAGAAATTTAGAATTTTTCTTAAAAATTTACAATTTTTCCCAGAAATTTAGAATTTTTCTGAAAAACTTAGAATCTCTGCGAGAAATTTATAATTTTTCTGAAAAATTTAGAATTTTTCCTAGATATTTAGAATTTTTCTTAAAAATTTAGAATTTTTCCCAGAAATTTAGAATTTTTCTTAAAAATTTAGAATTTTTCCCAGAATTTAGAATTTTTCCCTGAAATTTAGAATTTTTCTGAAAAACTTAGAATCTCTCCGAGAAATTTAGAATTTTTCCCAGAAATTTAGAATTTTTCTTAAAAATTTAGAATTTTTCCCAGAATTTAGAATTTTTCCCTGAAATTTAGAATTTTTCTGAAAAACTTAGAATCTCTCCGAGAAATTTAGAATTTTTCCCAGAAATTTAGAATTTTTCTTAAAAATTTAGAATTTTTCCCAGAATTTAGAATTTTTCCCTGAAATTTAGAATTTTTCTGAAAAACTTAGAATCTCTCCGAGAAGTTTAGAATTTTTCTGAAAAACTTGGAATCTCTCCGAGAAATTTAGAATTTTTCTGCAAAATTTATAATTTTTCCCAGAAATTTAGAAATTTTCTGAAAAATTTAGAATCTCTCCGAGAAATTTAGAATTTTTCTGAAAAATTTAGAGTTTTTCCCAGAAATTTAGAATTTTTCTTAAAAATTTAGAATTTTTCCCAGAAATTTAGAACTTTTCTGAAAAATTTAGAATTGTTCCCAGAGATTTAGAATTTTTCTGAAAAACTTGGAATCCCTCGGAGAAATTCAGAATTTTTCTCGTGAATTTCGAATCACTCTCGTGAATCTGGAAGTCAGCCTAACCGACATCCGCAATGTGAACGTACCCGGATACCAGCGTCGCGGTTCGCCTCGGCGACGCCTACGTCGGCGTCCCGTTTAACAGCCGCTGTCTGTGCCTTGCCAAGCGACGCCAAGTATTGAACGTCGTCGTACACGTCCTTTATCGTGAACGATAGAATTTCGATGCCCATACGGCCAACGTCCGGCGCGGCTACCTCTCTCACCAGCGTCGCGAATTGATCTCGATCTTTGTACACTTCCTCCACCGATAGCGTGCCTGAAAAGTAGTTTCCCCCGCAAAGTTTCTTCACGATCTTCGTCGATATTCATTTATTCAGAAATTTATTAGCAGAAATTGTGCACCAGAGAATTGAAACTTTTCTAATTACATGGAATTACATTGCCGAATTACATTCCACACACAATCGGTGAATTGTTTGTAAGTTTAATTAAGCGAAATTTAATTATAAGTTGTTACGATATTACGTATATATTGATAAATATATAGTTGGTTAATAGTATATAATTATAATGTATAATATTAATGATAATGTAACAGTAATAATATATAACACTTAATAATATATATATATGTACCATATTGAGAGGTGAACGAATTTCCATTTTCATAGGAATAATAATATACAATCATATATTTTAAAGTAACGATATTTTCAATAATATTATATTATGTGTTAATAATATATCACTATTTTACCATATTTCATTCAAAATTATTTTCTAAAATATACTATAAAATTATAAAACATTCATATATAATTATACAATGAGATATAATTTAATAAAAATATTTATACAATCAATATAATTATATATAATTATAATTCAAAATTATTTTCCAAAATATACTACAAAATTATAAAATTATAAAACATTCATACATAATTATATATAATTTAATAAAAATATTTATACAAGCAATATAATTATATATAACTATAATTCAAAATTATTTTCCAAAATATACTACAAAAAATTATAAAATATACTACAAAATTATAAACATTCATATATAATTATATATAATTTAATAAAAATATTTATAGAATTAATATAATTATATTTAATTATAATTCAAAATTACTTTCCAAAATATACTACAAAATTATATAATTATAAAACATTCATATGTAATTATATATAATTTAATAAAAATATTTATACAAGCAATATAATTATACATAACTATAATTCAAAATTATTTTCCAAAATATACTATAAAATTATAAAGTTATAAAACATTCATATATAATTATAATTATCATTATAATTATATCATATATAATTTTATAAAATATTTACATAATTTAATAAAAATAATTACACAATCAATCATAATTATATATAATTAAAATCATGAAATTATGAAATATTTCCAAGAGTGAATGCTCGAGTATATTTTCCAGAGCAAAACAGTTATCTTTCATTCTCCAACTGAGATGCTGAGAATTCTGAAAAATTGAGAGAAATATAAATTTACCTAATATCGCGCGAAGATGACCTTCCAGGGTAGATAAAATGGTCGATTTGATTTCGTAAACGCTTTTTCCTAAAAATTGTTCGCTGGCAGTGTGTAAAAGCTCGTCAGCCTTCATGATCTTGCACTGTGCTACACCAGTGACAGTCAGTGGTACGCCTTGTGCGGTTTCCACGTTCTCGCAGACGGGGTTCAATGTCATAACCTCGAGCGACAGTCGCTGCACGTCCGTGACAAACCACCACGTGAACGCGTAGCCGCCGACGATGGTCCTCTTTTTCATCGAACCGCAACATCCTCCTGTAAAACATAATTGAGAAGCAAATGTCTAATTGCTCTTTAATGAAACAGTATAGACTCGACACATTATTAGTATAGTACTACATGTCTATTATACAAGTCAATTGTATTGACTTATAATCTTTAATAAGTGTACTTAATTAACATTATAATTAATAATATACATGGTGTTTAAAATTATATCAAATTATATTGTATATATATATATATATATATATATATATATATATATATAATAATTGTACAATATAATATAATACAATATAATATAATATAATATATTATACTAATGTATAGTATATCTATATTAGTATATCATTAGTATAATATAATATACTGTAATATATAATATAGTATAATATAATATAATATACTATATAATATAATACATATTATATATATAAAATATATTATA